TAATCAAAAACCTCAAATGTTCTGCTTTTTGTTCATTGATCTTCAGCTTATTTGACAGCCGGATGTCCCTAAAAAATCAAGTTCATTCTTTTGTTGCATAATGTTACAGTGAAGTTAAACATATGATATATCAGTTCAGCATTCAGGACCGTCATTGATCCTGCTCTTAGTTCTTTTTTTCCTTTTTTTTTCCTTCTTTTTTTTTTTTGGAGTGGCATTCTGCTATCATCTAATAAAATCATAAATATACCTGTAAGAAAATTATTTTTATAAACCAATTCATTTGAACTTTTCAGACATTCTATCACGTACCGTTTCCACGAGTACATGATGCTTGGTTCAAGTTCAATCTAGATTATAGCTCTTTTTGGATCAAAGTTAATCCAGAAAAGGAGGATTTCAAGTTTTGCCAACTAATAATACAACATCTCAATTTTGTACTGACTTCTTGATTGGGCTAGGTTCATCCTTATGTTGCCACTGGAAATAAGAGCTCCAAATTTGGCATCAGAAATGAGAAGCTTCAATGGTTTCTAGATGCTGTGAAGGCACATCCGCAGGAATTGAAACTTGTTGGAGCTCATTGTCATCTTGGGTCAACTATCACCAAGGTAATATTATAATTGTCTGCATTTAATTTCTATAACATAAATTGGTCTACTCTGTTGAACTTCTCTGCGCTTCTGTATTTGGATGTTGACTTGGCTGTTGTGTTTAGTATCTATAGTTAGATGTAGTACCAATGGAAATGTGACTCATGACATCCTCTAATGCTTTATCAGGTGTCATTTATTTGGTGGCTGACATTTCCTTGTTGCCATTTACTCAGCACTAAATGATATGATTCAAATTTTAGTTCATTTACAACTTAATTCATTAATACTCCCCTGCTCCATTTGCCCCTCTTGTTCTTTCTCTTACCTTTTGAAGGCTTGAAGACACAAGAAAAATATTTGAAGAGGAAAAATGCAACATTTATCTTTCCATATACATATCAGACTCCCCTCCTAGTAATATCTCTTCCAATCTACAGTTCCTAGAAGTACGATTTACATGTTAAACAAGTAATATGTTGGTGGAGCCCTATGCTATGTTTCTATCTAGGCATCTTGCACATTGGATACCATGTGCAGTTGATCCTTTTGGGGTCGTTTGGTTGGGAAACAAGTTATCCCATGATTAATTATCCTGGGAGTAGTTATCCCGCCCTCCCATAGGGATAAAAATAACACTACAATTCCTGGATTAGTTATACCGCGATTTTATCCCAACCAAACGTGGGATAAATTCATCTCAAATTTAATCCCGGGATATCCCTTACCCCTCGTACTAAACAAGCCCTTACAGTTTTGTCAAAGGCTCATTTGAGGCGCGTCTAAGCTCTGAAGCTCAGAGAAGCTTAGGGTAGGCGCTTCGCCTTACTTAGGCTGCACTTCAGCGTAGGCAAGGCATTAAGGTGTATGGCTCATTGCCTATAAGTTCTATCTTGAACAGAGTGGCACTAAACAATAAATATGATTGGCAAAAAAGATATATTAATTGTTACAGAAATCACTATGAATGAAGTTGTTACTTTTTTCTTGTGTTACATATATATTTTATTTTTTCTTCCTCGCGCCTTTTTTAACTAAAGACACACTTTGATTGCACATTGCGCTTAAAGCTGCGATAGACCTGGAGTGCTTTTTCATCCCTTTTGCCTTTTGACAACTCTGATCCTTTAATGGTTCTGTACTTCCTCTCTCTTTAAAAATATGTTGTTCTATGTAATAGTATATGTTTTAGAAGATAATATTCTTTATATAGAAAATGTAATATCTCAATGGTGGATGACATTCCTCCCTATGGTTTGTTGACCTAAAACTTTTGTTGTCTTTTCCAGGTAGACATTTTTCGAGATGCAGCTGTCTTGATGGTGAACTACATTGATGAAATTCGATCCCAAGGATTTGAAATTGATTACCTGAACATTGGAGGTGGTTTAGGGATTGATTACTATCATTCTGGAGCTGTCCTTCCTTCACCTAGAGATCTTATTGATACGGTAAGGTTTTTACCTCATATAAGACATATGACATCTGCCCGGATGTTTTCAGTAGAGCGATTTGCCTTAAGACCGTTTCTTAGTAGTAGTGACAGTTAAAGCTACTGCTCAAACTGTGGGCCTCACCTGTGATTTAGTTGACACTTGCCGCTTTCATGCGTACCGCAGGTGCGAGAATTGGTCCTCTCACGAAAACTCAATCTCATTATTGAACCCGGAAGATCACTGATTGCAAACACATGCTGCTTGGTTAACAGAGTTACTGGAGTCAAAACCAATGGGACCAAAAACTTTATTGTGATTGATGGTAGCATGGCTGAGCTTATACGTCCAAGTCTGTATGATGCTTATCAGGTGAGATTATGCTTGGTTCTTGTTGCCATTCATATCGGTAAACTTTGTGAAGTAGCTACCACCTGTTTGTAATTATACTCATTGTATGAGTATACAGTTTGGACCTCACTCTTTATTTGAACTATGCATATCTGATTTGCGCTTACAATGGATTTATAATCTTCTCAGCGCTCTTGCTCAGTAAATGATTTTTTGATTGCAGCACATAGAGCTTGTTTCCCCTCCACCAGCAGAAGCTGCAATTTCTAGGTTTGATGTTGTTGGTCCTGTATGTGAGTCTGCAGATTTCCTGGGAAAGGACAGGGAACTTCCGGCACCTTCTAGGGTAATTTGTTTTGACCTCTTATAGCGTATAAGAAAAGGACAACGCATAGCCTCTCATTTGAGGATTTTTTTATTACACTTTATGGTCATACTAACTATGACATTTTAATTCAGGGCACTGGTCTGGTAGTTCACGATGCAGGAGCTTACTGCATGAGTATGGCATCAACTTACAATCTCAAGATGCGACCACCTGAGTACTGGGTATATTGTCTTAACGTGTTATTATATTGATGTTCTGCTCCTAATATTTCTTTATGGTGTTACTTTACATTCCTTAATCTATGTTCAAGCCTAGTTATGATGGAAATAAACTTGGTATTCCTCTCAACATGTCGTACCCAAAAGTAAAGAGTACACGGTTACACAACAATTAACTTAGTCCTAGATCTTAAGTTGGTATGTTTCATTGTCAAGAATTGAGAGTCAAGGCTGCCATATGACTAGTATTTCTGGAGTAGGAATAACCTTGTGGTTACTGGCTAAGCAATCTAATGATAAGATCTATAACTTACACGGCCCTTTGCTTTCCTAAAGACTGCGAAAAATGTCCCTTAAATGCTAGTGGTTCGGTTATAATAAATGTTGCTCAGAAAGAACCAGCGCAACTTTCTTTTTGTGTAAAGGGAATCTGCTCTTTTCTAATGTCCCAACACTAACTTGGTGCTTGGCTGGACTTTGTGTATGATATACTGCTAATCACAAGATAAGAAGGTCGAGTGCTACTTTTCTACATGCAGTATTCGCCTTCTACTAAGTTATGAGAGTGCTTGAAAACTCTTGTGATTTTCTTTTAAGATTGCTATTACTACTTGTTTGATTGCAGTTTTCTTAATATCTTACTGTTGTTACTGATTGTTGCCACGGCTTCTTTTCATATTTTCTTTAGTCGAGGGTCTATCGAAAACAACCTCTCTGCCTTCCCAGGGTATGGTCTGTGTACACACTAGCCTCCCCAGACCCCACTTGTGGGAATTAAGTTGTTGTTGTTGTCGTCGTCTTGTCCTTCATTTTGTCACTTGGAGTGATTGCTTTCACTTAAATCATTCTGAAAATCTTATCACTGCTAGCACTATGCCATGACTAGTTGCAGTTATCAAAGTGATTACAAATACTTTATATTACATTAACGGAAATGTGTGAGAATTAGCAACATCTATTCCCTTGGCATATAATTTTCTCATCCATGGCATTCATCGATTATCTTCAATGGGGTACAAATTTTTGAAAACTAAATTTGGATTGCATACTGCTGTTTGTAGGTGGAAGAAGATGGATCAATATCCAAAATCCGGCATGGGGAGACATTTGAAGACCATTTGAGATTCTTTGAGGGTCTGTAAAATCTCTGGTCATTTTAAGCATGGCTAGATGTGAAACTTGGGAATTTCCATAGTAGTTTTCATCCTGTCAATGTTGACATTCTCTACTTTGGATTATTCGAAACTGGATTTTTGTTACAATTTATGTGTGATGTGTGATAATGCAAATCCCTATGGACTCTTCACTTTTGTCTTCCTCCCATTATAGACGTGACAACTTCTGAAAAAAAACTAGCATAATTTGGTGTGATTAATAAGGTTTCTTCGTTGGCATTTCCTAACTAAAATGTATTGCCAAAAGTGACCTTAATTTATATTTTTTTTTAATTAAAAAAAGTGACCTTAAAACTAGTTAGCAAACTAAGTTAATTTTACAAGAAAAGAGAACATTGCATGACAAATTAGTCATAATATTTTGTTTCTCATGTTTATGAAGGCTAACTAATAAATGATGTATGTGATTGCGATTACTTCTTAAATAAATATAATTTGCATAATCTGTAGGATTACTTTCAATAAATTACGCTTCATTTCAAACTAATAGTCAACTATACAAATCATCTGTATTCATACTGGTCGATTGTGTTTTGATTTATCATATCTACCAATATAATTTTATGTTTGATTGTCAATTTTGCCATAACACTTATTATTTGTTCTAATATTAATATTGACTATACTTATATTTTGATAAAACTTTTATAAGTAGCGGTAATGCACGAGTTATTTATTCATCTTTTTTTTTAATTGTAATTGCAAAAGAAAAAAAAGACAAAATTCATAATTTTTAAAAGATCTTTTCTTTTACAGAATCAATAAAAGAGAAACCTAACTACAAAAAGTGAAGATTATGCACTACAAACTCAAATTTGTTAATACGGAGCTTATCGCATTACCCATTTATTATTTATTTTATTTACTAATACTTTAAAATACTATAAAGGAAAAATGAAATACTGGACTTGGCGCTGCTCCGCGTCAACCGTGCCTTTTGGATTTTCGTGTAGTTTTCGCTCCATAGTCCACACTCCACACCCCCCGCCTCTCTCTCTCTCTCTCTCACACACACACACACACACACAGAGTCTGTCTCTCTCTAATCTCTATCTATATACAGTATATTATAGATTCACTCTTCAGTGCAGAGAGATTTTGGAAACCGCCTTTTATACGCTACTAGTTTTTTCTTCCTTCTTCTTCTCCACAAATGCTTAACGCACACACTTGAATCGGAGCCCTAGCCTGTTCGTTTCTCCTCACAATTCTCTTACGGTTTTTGGTCAAACTGTTCAAAATTGCCTTCATCTCTCGCTTTGCCTCCCGATCGGTAATCTTTTACTGCATTTACTGTTTTCGGTTTTCGTACTTTTGTTATGTCGTTAAATTGAGGATTGATTATTTGATGCATTTTAGTTTGTGTTTAATTTCATCTATAATATGCGAGTTTTGGTGATTCCTTATTTCTTACTGCATTTCCTTTACACGCTTTGCATGATGTGTTCTTCGCTTATTTGCTCTAATTGTATCCTTGAATTTGTCTAGCTTAACGGAGCTATTAAAATCAGGTGCATTTAAGTGCAGTCAAAAATTAGTAAATGAATATCTTTCAGATTTAATGCTTCGGCAATCGGTAACAAGCTTTCTTAATATTTGAATGTGATGCATTTCAGTTCGTATTTGTTTCATCTATAAAAATAGTTGGTATGGTGCCAGTTTTTGCTAGTCAATGAGGTGGATTAAGAACCATAAGGTCTCATGTTCAAATTCCAGTGGAGCCAAAGACATTAAGTGATTTCTTCTCATTTGTCTAAGGCTTCGTGGACAGATTACCTAGTACCTATTGGTGGCTGGAGGTAGCAGGCCATGAAATTAGTTGAGGTGCGCGTAAGCTGGCCCGAGGCACTATGGTTATCAAAATAAAGGAAATAGTATGAGTTTTTGCTGCATTTCCATTACATTCTTCTTGTGATGTGCTTTTCGCTAATTTGCTCGAGTTGTATGGTTAAATTTTCTCTAGCTTAACTGAGCTATTAAGGTTAAGTACGGGTTAAAAATAGGTAAATTACTATCTCTGTTGTGTAGTGCTTGAGTACCTGTTAACAAGCTTCGTTAATCTTCACCATTTTATATGTTTTGGTTACTTTTCCTCATTGTACCAGTTCAGTTCCCTAACATCTTTGCTGGAATAATGGCAATTATTTGATAGTTATTCTGTATTGAGAATAAATTTTTATATAGTTTGCTTAGTTAACTTTTCAGTTCTAGTTCATGAAGTGAAAAGTTGCTATCACTTTATCATGAATCCTTGATAGGTTATCTTAAACTGTTACATATTCTTGGTTGCCGGATTAGCCCGGCTAGTTGCTGGAGCCGTTATTTCTTGCTTGCAATGAGTGGCAACTAGATAGTAGTACCTGAACTCTTGCATTATAAATTTCTTATCGATTCCTATGTTTATTGGTAGTATCACATAATTATATATGCAGTAGCTCTATATTGTTAAATAAGTTGCAATTGATTATATCCCTTTTTCCAAATTACTTTTCTCCTACACAGCTGTAGTAAACTTGAAGTTTGTCTGCCTAAACTTTTGAACTCATTGACCAAGCGATGTTTGAATCTCCTTGTCGACTGTTTCCTTAAACACATAATTGATAATTTTTCTGCCTCGGGTATATTTCAGGTTTTATTGCATTTTGGCAGAAACCGGTCGGTCGATCCTCGGTGCAGATCATTATCAATCAGTTCGTTCCAGGTTTCTTACTCAGTTATGGCCAGTGAAACAATTGCAGGCCTTTCCAACGGTAACGGCAATGCTCATTCTACTCCACAAAGGACTTACCAGGTTGTCGTTGCTGCGACTCGAAATATGGGTATTGGTAAGGAGGGGAAGTTGCCTTGGAGACTGCCTTCAGATCTCAAGTTCTTCAAGGGTATCACTGGGACTACGTCAGATCCTTCAAAAAAGAATGCTGTTATTATGGGTAGAAAGACTTGGGAAAGTATTCCTCTTGAATATCGCCCTCTTCCTGGCCGCCTCAATGTTGTTCTCACACGTTCAGGGAGTTTTGACATTGCTACAGCAGAAAATGTTGTCATATGTGGAAGTTTAGCTTCTGCTCTGCAACTATTGGCAGCCTCGCCTTATGGTCTGTCAATTGAGAACGTGTTTGTTATAGGAGGTGGCGAGATTTTCAGGTCAACTTTCTTGCTGCTTTGTTTTTATAGGTAGCCTTTAATGCTAGTTTATAACATTAATCTTTTTGATGCAGAGATTCCCTAAATGCTCAGGGGTGTGAGGCAATCCATATCACTGAAATTGAGACTGATATTGAATGTGATACTTTTATTCCTGCTATTGAAACCTCGGCATTTCAACCCTGGTACTCATCATTTCCAGTGGTTGAAAATAAGATTCGCTATTCTTTTACCACCTATGTCCGTGTGAAGAATTCTGGAGTAGAAACTGTTAATCAGGCAAATAGTGAGACTCCTGAGATTGGTTCAGATTCTTTTAATGTTGAGGTTAAAGCATTCTCCTTCTTGCCTAAAATGATATTTGAGAAACATGAAGAATACCTGTATCTGAGAATGGTTGAAGAGATCATCTTGAATGGCATTCCAAAGGATGACAGGACTGGCACTGGTACTTTGTCAAAATTTGGTTGTCAGGTAATGAGAAGTACAAGTAAAGTTCAGTTTTGGCTTTCTCAAAAAAGATAAAGTTCTTTTTATATGCCTTTTCTCTCTTTTCCCCCCCTTTTTTGGGGTGTGTTTGAAGAGGTGATAACGTCAGTAAGCTTAGTTGGGTGAAGAGAGTCTGGAAGTAAAATTGGTCAGAGAAGGGTTCATTTGATCACAATGTAAATAATAAAGAGGGGTAGGAAAGGCGAAGCTTTGCATGCAGTCATATTTAAGCCTATTGGAAGAATATCGAACAAACTTCTCTCTATTTGCCTTCCCTGTTTTGTATGTACAGGGTAATTTATTGTCTGTTTGGTGTATCTGCCATAGTGCTCTGATGTTTTACTATCGCTGCAGATGAGGTTCAATTTGCGTAAATCATTTCCCCTTCTTACAACAAAGGTATTGTGTCATATTCTGGTTTGTAGTTTAATGTGCTTTTGATTTACCCACGTCCAATTTTTCCTACTCCTGCAATGTGAAGGGCGAACATAGATCATTTACTTATTTTGTTTGTTATTTTGGGTTTTAGAAAGTTTTTTGGAGAGGCGTCGTTGAAGAACTCTTGTGGTTCATCAGTGGATCAACAAGTGCTAAGGTATCTTTCTATTCCTCACTGACTGTATAATATGGTCGGTTTCTTTGTCACTAATGCTTGGTGTAATTGTTATGGCATTTTGGAGATTGTTACGATTTTTTAGTGATTTCTGGCCCATCTAGCCTACATAATTAAGATGTTTGACTTTAGGTCCTACAAGAGAAGGGCATTCATATTTGGGATGGCAATGCATCCAGAGATTATCTTGATAGGTAAGATTTTCTCTCTCGATCGTGCTATCATGTCTATTAGAAATATTGAACTGTCTTAAGTTTGGTGTCCCATTTCAGTATTGGCTTGAAGGATAGGGAAGAGGGTGATTTGGGACCGGTATACGGGTTTCAGTGGAGACATTTTGGTGCCAGGTCAGTGTTCGAACTTACTCGTCTGACATACAGTTTGTCAAAGCTCTTTGAGTTTTGTGGTAACTTGATCTATTGGAACTGCTATGTACAGGTACATTGACATGCATACTGACTACAGTGGTCAAGGTTTTGACCAATTGGCTGATGTTATCAACAAAGTTAAAAACAATCCAGATGACAGACGTATTATTCTTTCAGCTTGGAATCCTTCTGATCTTAAACTGATGGCGCTCCCACCTTGTCACATGTTTGCTCAGGTTAGTATTGTCATGGTTGTGTTTAGGGTTAACTTATTGTTTATCTTGTAAACTTCTCTTTTATTTTGTGGTTGCAGTTTTATGTAGCCAATGGGGAGTTATCCTGTCAGATGTATCAGCGATCTGCTGATATGGGTCTGGGAGTGCCATTTAACATTGCATCTTATGCCTTGCTGACATGCATGATAGCTCATGTTTCTGGTATGCTGTCCGGTGCCTCTAGCAAATTTCACACGTGCATTATGTAATAACTACTGGCAAAATTCCTACCTACTTAGAGAGAGGAATGTAGTATGCAAAACCTCATACTAGGTGAGGAGTTGGAGATGGAAATTATGCCTTCTTGCGAGGCTCAATCTTTGTCCCTTATTAGAAAATCTTTTGCCTTAAAATTTAGTTTTGGTTCAAAGCAATACTGTTGATGGTAATGATTCTTGATAGGGCCAATTACTTGTTATGTGTAAAACAGGTCTAATAACAAAAAGGATTTGGCACTTAGAACTTCTGATTTGTAGATGTTGATATATGTTTATTTTAAAGACATACCTTTTGATGGTCATTTACTGCTTATTCTACATTTATCCCATGTCAGTCTTTGTTTTATGGTGCACCTCGTGATTTTTGCTTTTCCTTTATTTTACAGACCTAGTTCCTGGTGATTTTGTTCATGTCATTGGAGATGCTCATGTTTATCGCACTCATGTAAGACCTCTGCAAGACCAGCTTCAGAAGTTACCGAGACCTTTCCCAGTAAGTAATGGAATGTTCATTCATTTGTTTGCTACTTAATCTCTCTCTCTCTCTCTCTCTCTGTGTAACTTTGGTTGGTCCTGAATGGGTGTAGGTGCTGAAGATCAATTCACAGAAAAAGGATATAGATTCCTTTGTTGCTGCAGACTTTAAACTTGTTGGTTATGATCCTCACCAGAAAATAGAAATGAAAATGGCGATATGAAGTGCCATAGATTTTGTCCTGGAATTCTGCGGCTCTTAAGATATGTTGCTCATATTTTGAGGCAAGTAATGGAATTGTCCTTTTCCTCTTTTCTGCTCTCCCATAAGAACTTATGTGGCCTAATTTTCATTGTTCAGAGCCTAGATTGAAAGAATCTGATTTCAACATTTAGGTTTTATAATGTGAGAGATCTTATGAAGGCTTTGTCTCAGACCCTATATGGTTCTTTTAAAAAAAAAAAAAAAATTGAAGTGCTTGATGTGTACTGCTTTCCGTGTTTAGTGGAGCTCTCATATTGAGGTTGCTTTTATAATTTTGCAGGTAGAGTAACTGGAGATGTTTGAGGAGCTATTCTATAATTTGAATCTTCATTAGTATACTTGAGAAAGAAAAAGAAACTAAACTTTTAGGATTTGTGAATCCTTTAGCACCACATGATGGTTCGTGGTTGCTAAGGCGATTTAGAATACAAATGACTTTCCTTTTGTCTCGAGACTTACCTTTTGGACTATGCCCATACTTTATGCAGTTGAACTAAGCATTAGTTCCTTTAAATTGATGTATTGCTTATGTATTCGCTCATTTATTTGTGCATCATTTCATGGATTTGGTTGCAGCTTTTTTGGTTCAGCTTCATTTGTGTGTGCCCGAGCAGATACCGAAAGAGGGTGGGAGATTGTATATTGCTACTAAGATAAGTTTATTCTGGGTCTCATCGCATAGATGGGGCGGAGGTTGCTAGATGAACAATGATGGATCATGGAATGCAAGTGCGCAAAGGTCTTTAGAATTTGTGTAGTTTTTCTAATAATAAAAGGTGGCAAATGGACTAGTTGGTCAAACTTGATCGGGTCAAAACATGTAAATTAATTAATGGGCTATGATTTAACTCAGAGTTTGCTTGGGTCAAAATATGTCAAATAATGTGTCCTAACTCAACCACCCACCTAACGACCAAATTTCTCCTTTTTTCTTTAAGAAAATTATAGAAGTTAATGTATTTTTCTTAAATTATTAGTTAAAGTGTTGGTCAAAAAAGCTTTGACAAGGTTAATTTTGTAAAATTAAAAGTTAAAAATTAGAAAATGAAAATCAGGCGGTATTCTGAAATTATTAAGATTAGAAAAAGGCTGAAACTATCATAAATAGAAGGGGAAAAAAGGAACCTAAAACTGAAATGAAATTTCCAATTCCTTTAGAGAATTAAAACCCATTACCTTTAGGATTATGGCTGGGATTCAAAACTGAATTGAGCCAAAAGCTGAATTTCCAATTCCTTTTGGGGAATTAAAACCCATTCCCTATAGAATTATGGTTGGGATTCAAAACCCAATTCCTATAGGATTACTGCTACCAGTGAATTTATAAAAGCAATTGCTCCCTATAATTTCACATCCGCACTACCTACTCCTGCTCTTTTAGCAAAAACAATGCCGAAACTACGAAGTCTAGTAAGAAAGCGTGCTGCGGCTAGAGCATTTACATTAGTACCAAGTTGCATGTACAAAGAAGGTACTGATGTATGTGTTACATGTTCACAATCAAACGGCGGTGCTATGCTTTTAAGAGAAAATTTATGTAAATTCGACAATAATCAAACCGTACACAGCACAATTGGTTTTCCACTTAAGGTTTCTGTTGTTGTAATGCGTTGTTCATCAGCCTTGTCTTCTTCGTACTACATCTCAGATCATATAACCGAACAAACTTTTTGGATTCCTTACGATAGTATCTTTTCAGATCATGATGCTTCGAACATTATATCAAAAATAATATGTTTGATGAATGTTCCTTTCTCTTTAGATCACAAGTTAAAGTGGAGAGGTATAGGATATCAAGATTTTAAAATTAGTAATACCACATTGACAAACAAGGACACGTTGATTTTCAAGACAATGAAGTTTGCTCAGAGTATGAAGGACTGTTCATCTAAAGAAGACTGCTGGTACATGAATTTGGAGATTTCAAAGATTACTTATTTACCCCACAAGAAATTTATGGAGATTTATAACATGATGGGACAAGACTATAATTTGAAGACATGGCTATGGACTCAAGGAGAGTTGAATACACGAATTGCGGCGTTTGAATTGCAGAAGAAAATTGGGATCAAGAAGATGAGATTTGAAGCTAGTGAAATTAAGGACACGTGTTCGATTTGTTGTGAAGAATTTTTAGAAGGTTGTATTGTTTATTGTATTAATCAGTGTTCCCATGTCTACCATGAAGTTTGTATTTTAGAATGGCTTTTAAGGAGGAATTGGTCTTGTCCCTATTGCCGATCCAAGTTGGTATAGAAAGTCTAGTCTAAGGTTATAATTTAGTGATGCAATTTTTTGTATGTCATTACAGATTTGTGCTATTGTATGAATTATGAAAGTTGGTTGAATACTATCTTGAAAAAACATACAAACAAATCCTAATTTATCTTTTTGATTTTTTTTCTCTTTTTTTTTATGTGAATTTTTATGTCCTCTTTTGTCTCTTTTCGTCTTTTTCTCTCTTTTCTTGAGCCGAGGGTCTATCGGAAACAACCTCTCTACTCCATCGGAATAAGGGTAAGGTCTGTGTATATACTATCCTCCCCAGATCCCTCACCTGTAAAATTTTACTAGGTTATTGTTGTAATTTTTGTCACACCTCCTTTCTTACACACCTACCCCGGAGGATAAATGTATAAGGGAGTTTTTCCATTTAAAGTGACATTATTCGAAATACGATTATTTATTTATTTTTTAGAGTCGCCACTTGGGATAGGATTGGCTTTTGGTGTCCCAAGTCACCGGTTTTCATTTAAATCCCAAATCGAGGAAAAATTCAACTTCCCAATTGGAGTCTGCGAACCAGAAATTCTGAATAAGGAATTCTGTTGACCCGAGGGAAGGTGTTAGGCACCCCCGGATTCCGTGGTTCTAGCACGGTCGCTTAAATTATTATAAATGGCTAAAATCTAATTTTTATACATGTTCCAACCTATAATGCAATTTTAAAAATTTGTTTAACCGCTTTTAATTAGTTTTTATGAAAGTGAACGCCGTTTAAGAGCGTGTTTTTGGATCACGTCACATGAAATGCACCCGGATCCTCGACACCTCTTATTCAACATTTTGGGATTTGGATTTGGGTCGCATGAAATGCACACCGGTATTTTAAGAAGATAAAATTATTAAAAGCACGCCTAAAGTGGCTAGCGTCTTATTAACTTTGCGGGAGGCCGTGAAATTCGCTAAACGACACGTCCCGATCTCTAAGTATTTTCCTATAAGCAACTAATGAGGGCCCCGCAATTTATGCATTTTTGTTCGGCGAGGCTCGTCTCATTTATTTTAAGGATATCCTAAAGCATACTATGATTTTCTATTGAATTTGTCTCTAAAAGGGCCTAGTTAATATTATGAACTATTATTAAAAAAACATCGAAGAATTCGGGCCTCAAACTCAAGTCCACATTTGAACAGGAGGATAACCCCCTAATTCAAACGTGCTACTTAGCTTGGAAGACCCAAATTATAATTTAAACTCAACATCCTTTAAATCTAATGGCTTAAATTTTCAGCGTGTTGGGCCTCAAGAGCCAGCCCTTGGGAATAAGCCTGTCCCATTTTATTTGTAATGCCACCTGCAAGGCTGTCCAATATCCAGGCCATAGCACAGGCCCAGATCTCATTTACAAAAGCGGGACAGCCTGGGCCCGCGATAGGCCTAAAGACCCGATGCCAAATTAACTTTGGGCCTGTTAAATTGCTTCTTCATGGCTCTAACAGCCCAGGTTTTTGACAAAGCATTAGTGTTTTAAACTACCAGCTATCATCAGGAATTAATTTGCTGTGCATGAAACATTGAACTAAGCCTCACGTATGGGCCAGATTCTAAATATTTTACTAAGCTATGAGTTAACACAAACGATGATAGAAAATATGGTTATATTAGAGTTATTACCATATGGAAGCATCAAACTTATTTAACATGTTGAAATGCATACTATTAATTATTCCTTAGGCCTATTAGTCCTGAAGTTAACATGGATACAAATATGTACTAGCCTCAGAATCAGTTGCGAATTTCACGCTGTTTTTCAAAGTTTAGCAATTACCCCGACGTGAGATGAAATCTAAACAAATATCAGAATTAACTTACGCTAAAGCTAAATATTACTGAATAAATACACACTAGTATAACAGTCCAATTAATACAATTGTCAAAAGTCCAGGTCGTCTATGTTTCAATTGCTACTACTACATAATCTATTGTGTAAGTTAATGTATATACAAGTAAGCTTAACATGAAATTATTAAGAGCAATTTGTTATATGAGCAATACACGTGAGTAAACATGAATTTGAACAGTTCAAGTATCCAGATCAGCCTTTCATTTCACATCAAAACTTCGATTATAAGTTGTCTTAGCTTTGACCATTAGAGATTAAGCAAGTACCTGGAAGTTGAAATACACACAAGCAAGGAAGAGGAATCAGCAGCAGTGGTGAGCAGATGATCAAATAGCCCAGAAATAGATTCAGCAACCCAGAAAATAATATCAAAACCAATCTATGGAGGAATGACTCTAACAATCAACCAAGGAGACTTTGAACAGCCCAAATCTACTCAAAATTTCGCCCAGGAATACTCAGATGATTTCGGCAACTAATTATTGAGCTAGACGATGTGAATCAGCAATTAACAATAAAAAATTAACCTAAGGTTTTCAATGGAACAGTATTTTTGGGATTTTTGAAAGTTTCTTTTTTTTGGGGGGGTTTTATGCAGAATTTAAGATCTAAAACAAGGTTTTTAGAACTAGACTTCAAATTTGAACATCTTGGGATTTTGAAATTCAAATTTGGGATTTAGAGTTGCAGAAATGGATTTTGAGGGGGGAATTAGAAGCTGGAAAGTGTTGGGAATTTTCAGAGAGGTAAAAACTTGTCTTGCAAGGCAAGGGGTTGTTCTTTTATAGGCCAAGCTAAGGGAATTTTCAGAAATTTCACTTTGCACCCTTACCCCCTCTTTTATTTTTAGTTTTAGCTTAATTAGTCCCTGAAAGACTGACTTCTTACCCAAGCTAGATCACTAAATTCCTAAAATTCTAATTGGGATCCCCTCTAGAATGTTCTAGGGGTTTCCAATTCAGTTACTACAAGATTCCTTTTATCTAAAATACCTAAACTACCCTTTTATTCAATCTGAAATTACCAACCAACCCAAAACCCCTTTTGACCTTGTTAATATTTGCCCATAGTTAACTGCCCAAAACTCAGAGGATCAGCTATAACCAAACACTTCCTAAAAATGGATTAAACAATCTAACTAACTAATTCTAAATGGAGCTGCAATTAATTCTAATTAAACTATGCTCTAAGGCTGGAACAAACCCAACAAATAAACTATACTGTAACAAACAAAATAATAAAGAAACTGGAGAAAATTAACAGCAAACATGAATTATCCAAGAACAGAATTACACTTATAACCCTAAGAGAAAACGCCACAAAATCAGAAACTTAAAGTAATCTAAACTACAAAACCTAGGATATAAATTACCACTAACCAAATAAAGCATGGATTTAATCAGAAAATTATTGTTTAAAAATTAAAGAATTCCAATAACAAGATTAAAAGAACAGTATCATAGTTTCAGTCATCGAATCGGTAGAAAATTCAAAACCAAACCAGACGAAATCAACAAAGCAGAGTCGAATTAAAACCCTAAATTAGTCCTGAAACAAAAGGACTACTGAGACGACCAAATTAAAACTAGAAAGCTCATGCATAAAAAAAAGAAAAATCTACAGACAGAGGAAAGGAAACAAAGAAATTTAGAAAAACTTACTGATTAAACTTAAAACTCTGCTTAATGTTCTGGCACATATGAGCTCGAAACTAATCATTCCTAAGTCTCTTAAAACAAAGGCCTGAGTTGACATGACTTGAACTGTTGAAGCTCGAAATTAGATCCAAAAATTTGAAAAGTTCTGGCCGACTTCGAAGGAAACCAGTGCCATATTAGGTGTGAAGGAGGCATGAAGATTATAGGGTGTTGTTTTGAGGTGATTTGGAGGCAGCGCCGCCACCGGAGGAACTGTGGCGGCGCTAGGGTTTTGCGGATTCGAGGAACTCCGGTGGGATTTGAGAGGAACTGAAGTCGGAAGTGGAAAGAGGAGAGGGAGAGGATACTAGGGTGTTAATTTGGTTGGGTTTGGGTGATTGCCGCCGGCGGAGACGATTTTCGGCCGGCGGCGGGCGACGGAGGACGGTGGTGATATAAACGGGTCTGAGACGGTGATGAGAAGGGGGGGGGGGGGGGGGGTAAGGTATCCGACAATTTTATATTAATGTTAACCTAGTTCTGAGCCGTTGGATCATGTAACCTAGACGGCTCAGATCTAATAGAGCCAAAACGACGCCGTTTTGTCTCTGGATAGCTGGACCGGATTTGTGGACTATTGGGCTGGGACTGGTTTGAAGAGATTTTGAGGTTGGGCTGGTGAATTAACTAATCACTGGCCCAATGCCAGCCAGTCCGTTTTCTCTCTTTTTTTTTTTTATTTATTTAATTATTTTCACTCTTTTTTTTTCTCCCTCTTTTTTTTTGTTAAATACAAAATTAAAAATAAAAAGACATGATTTAATTCTAGACCTAGACTAATTAATTTTCAAGAATTAACTAACTCCTAATTTCAAATAAAACTAAGACAAGTTCGAAAATTAAAAGTAAGAATGCGAAAGGAACCATTTTTTTTTGTTATTTTCTTTCATTTTTTGTAATGTTAATAAACTAATAGAACCAAAAATATAAATTTGGCTCCTAAATGCAAATGTACTATTTTTTTTGTATTTTTTATGAATTATGCCAAATACACACAAAAATGCAAACAATCACAAAATCATGCAATTAAATTCTAAAAATCAAATAATAAAAGAAAGATCCTAATTTTATGAATTTTATAGGAGTAATTTAAGCGAGGCAAAAATCACGTGCTCACAGCTGCCTCTCTTTGCTCGAAGACACTAAGAGTTTTCGGGCAAAGATAAATGAGCACCATGAAGGATTTTTGCCTGCTCGGACTCCATGAGAAGCATTTTGAAAACCGTCTGACCGAACCCTGCTTCAAAGGTTGCCTACATATCCTTGGCTATAAAGGAATCAGGTCAGTGTAGTTCTGGAAGGTTTGGTAGCTGGGACTACCAGGAGCTGTGATCTCACTGCTGTTGCTGCTGCTACTGCTTGCTGACCTCCTTATTACACCAAAAAGGAAAATCAAAGCCAAGCCAGCTA